CCCAGGATCGAACATTGTTTCGTTCTGCTGTGCATGGAGTCGCTATGAGTCGGTTCCGACTCGATGGCACCTGACAACAACAACAACAACAACATGGGAAGAAACAGTGAAAAATTCCTTTTCGTCAGTCAAAACAAGGCCAGGGGCAGAGTATGGAACAGATAATCAATTGCTCATATACAAGTTCAAACTGAAGTTGAAGAATATTAAAACAAATACACGAGAACCAAAATATGACCTTAAACATATCTCAACTGAGTTTAGAAATCATCTCAAGAACAGATTTCATACATTGGACACTAATGACTGAAAACCAGAAGAGTTGTGGGATGACATAAGAATATCATACAAGAAAAAAACAAAAGGTCATTAAGATGACAAAAAAGAAGAAATGCAGAAGAGACTCTGAAACTTGCTCTCTAGCATAGAGACGCTAAAGCTAATGGGAAAAATGATGAGCTAAAAGAGGTGAACAGAAGATTTCAAAGGGCTACAGAAGAAGGCAAATTCAAATATTATAATGAAATGTGCAAAGACCTGTAGATAGAAAACCAAAAGAAAAGAACATGCTCAGCAATTCTCAAGCTGAAAGAACTGAAGAAAACTTTCAAGCCTCAACTTGTAATAGTGGAGGATTCTATCTGCAAAATATTGAATGACACAGAAAGAATCAAAAGAAGATGGAAGAAATACATAGAATTACTGTACAAAAAAGAAATGGTCACTATTGAACCATTTCAAATTATTTCACATGAACAAGAGCCAGTGGTACTAAAGAAAAATAGCAAGGTTCACTGGAGGCATAGGCAAAACAGGAAAGCTCTGGGAATTGATGGAGTAAAAATTGAACTCCTTCAACAAACTGATGCAGCACCGGAAGCACTCACTCATCTATGCCAAGAAATTTGGAAGACAGCCACCCGGACAACTGACTGGAGGAGATCCATATGTGTATCCATTCCAAAGAGAAGTGACCCAACAGAATGTGGAAATTTACCAACAATACCATTAATATTACATGCAAGTAAAATTTTGTTAAATGTAATTTTAAAATGACTGAAACAGTACATTGACAGAGAACTGACAAAGGTTCAACCCAGATTCAGATGAGAACATGGAACAAGGGGGTATTATTGCTGACATCACATGGATCATGGTTGAAAAAATACTAGCAATATGTTTACCTGTGCTTTATTGACTACATAAAGGCTTTTGATTGTGTGGATCATGACAAGCTACGGACAACTTTGCAGAGAATGAGCATTCAGGAACACTTTATCGTTCTCATAAGGAACCTGTACATAGACCAAGAGGCAGTTGTTTGAACAGAACAAGGGGACAATGAACGGTTTAAGATCAGAAAAGATATGCACTAGGATTGTATTATTTCACCATACTTGTTCAATCTGTATGCTGAGCAAATAATCCGAGAAGCTAGATTTTATAAAGGAGAACATGGCATCAGGATTGGAGGAAGACTCATTAACAACCTGCAGTATGCAGATGATACAACCATGCTTGCTGAAAGTGAAGAGAACTTAACATACTTACTGATGAAGATCAAAGACATCAGCCTTCAGTATGAGTTGCACCTCAGTGTAAAGAAAACAAAAATCCTCACCACTGGACCAATAAATAACATCATGATAAATGGAGAAAAGATTGAAGTTGTTGAAGACTTCATTTTGCTTGGATCCACCATCAACACTCATGGAAGCAGCAGTCAAGAAATCAACGACATTAGGCAAGACCTCTTTAAAGAGTTCAGTAGCAAAGATGTCAGTTTGAGGACTAAGGTGTGCCTGACCCAAGCCATGCTGTTTTTAATAGCTTCAGATTCTTGTGAAAATTGGATGATAAATAAGGAAGACCATAGAATTGATGCATTTGAGTTATTGTGTTAGAGAAGAATATTAAAACTACCATGCACTGCCAGATGAACAAACATATTTGTGTTGGAAGAAGTACAACCAGAATGCTCCTTAGAAGCCAAGACAGCCAGAGTTTAACTCTTATACTTTGAACATATTATCAGGAAAGACCTGTCCCTGGAGAAGGACGTCATGTTTGGTAAAGTGTAAGGTCAGCAAAAAAGAGGGAGACTCCCAATGAGATGGATTGGCACAGTGGCAGCAGCAATGGGTTCAAGCTTAACAATGACTGTGAGTTTGGCACAGACCGAGCAGTGTTGCATTCTGTTGTGCATAAGGTCACTATGAGTCAGAACCAACTCAACATCACCTAACAACAACAACAACATTACTTTAATGCTTTTTTCTATCCCAGCTATTGAATTAGGTTGGAATTAGGGATTAAAGGTCATCTCTGGATTTTGGAACATTTCACACTAGATTATGTCCTATTTACTAGCTAGCCACCAGTACTTTCCTCATGAAAAAGTAGATTTGTTGGAGGCTCACTGATAAACAAGAGTTCTAAACAAACAACTCTGCAGTGTCAAAAACTGCATGCTTGCTCTGCCATAAGCTACTCTTGTGCTCTTAAATGAGTCACTTAACCTCTTAATTCCATTTCTACATCTATGAAATTTGAATAATTCCATAGGTGATCATGAATATGAACTGTGCTATTATAATCCAAAAGAAGTTATAAAATAATATTTCTCAACACAAATGTGAAATTAATGTCTGTAGCCATGCCATTGTTGTTGGTTGCTGTTAAGAAGATTCCAACTCATGGTAACTTCATGTGTTACAGAGTAGAACTGCCCCCAAGGGCCTTCTTGGCTGTAATCCAAATAGGTAAAAACTTGGTAGTAAAACAGTTAGGAACTCAGTTGTAACCAAAAGGTTGACAGTGCAAATCTACCCAGTGACTCCCTGGAGAAAAACCAGACTATTTGTTTCAATAAAGATGACGGCTTAGGATGTCCTATAAGACAGTTCTACTCTTGTTACACAGGGTTACAATTAGTCAAAATCTGCTCTATAGCACACAACAACCAGTCTTGACAGAAGCAGACTGTCAGACCTTTTCTTCCACATTACCATTTGGTGGATTCAAACCACCCATATTTAGGTTATTTGTGCCATTTGTGCCACCTAGGGACCTGTTAATTTAGGAGTACTAAGATAGTACAGGAGTCCTGATGTGGTGCTGTGGGCTAATGCACCAGATTGCAAAGCCATTTGAACTGCAAGGTCAGCAGTTCAAGCTCACCAGCTGCTCCTTGGAAGCCCTATACAGGGTCACTATGGGTCAGAACCAACTCTACAGCACTTAACAACAGCAACAACAAAGATAGTACAAATACCTTGACATGGGTGAGTACTTTATTCTGATTGTGTTGAAGAAACTTTTAGCCTTTAGTGACTATATCTAATCTATTGGCACTTCTTACCTTTTTCTTCTGAGTAGCTTTCAGGATCTTTTCAAGTGAATCACACCAACTATTAAAATCTGAACACACTATTATCTTTCCCCCATCTCACTGTTTTCCTTCATTGTGAGGACCAATTAGTGATGATATCTTCTTTTAATACATCCCAATTTACTACTAGTAGAACAATTTAGTAAAGCAATTGAAGTGTTTGGGTAAAGGAAACATTTATGATTCGTAGGAGAAATTAATTCATTTTTTCTTATTGCAGTTTGCAAACTTCAAGAAGCTGATGTGGTTTTCCTTTGTGATGGTTCAGATAAGGTATCTCTTCCAGAATTTGCTACCATGAAAACTTTCTTGTCAGGCTTAATTGATAATTTTGATACTCAGTCTGGAAGAATAAAAATTGGGATTGCTCAATTTGGGAGCCGCTATCAAGAAATTGTTGATTTGGAAAGCTCTTTGAATAGAACCAAGATGCAGATTCACATTCAAACTATTGACAGAAGCGAAGGGAATCCACGAATTGATACTGCCCTTCAACATGTGAGGTCTATGTTTGATTCTTCTGCTGGTGGGAGACGAAATGCTGGCGTCCCTCAAACTTTGATTATTATCACATCTGGGGATCCACTATATGATGTGTCAAATGCAATCAAAACTCTGAAAGACTATGGAATTTGTATTATAGCTTTGGGAATAAAAGGTGCTCATAAAGAACAACTTCTGCAAATAACAGGCAATTCTGAAAAAATTATCACTTATTCAGACTTCAATAAATTAATGGACAAGAATGTGAAAAAAAGAATGGTTCGTGAAATCTGCCGGAGCTGCGGGGACAGCAGTAAGTGTTCCCTTGCTCATTATTTGGTTTTATTCTATTGTAACTTCCCACTTTCCCATTTCACAATGGTGCTTTATAGACAAAGTCAAGCAGGATATGTATTTAGAAGAGTATTCAGTGAGAGTAAATAGAATGAAGGAATCTGGGGTAAGTAAACCAATGAAGCTTAGTGATGGCTGAAAGAGGCATTGGCATGTGTCCTCAAGTAAGCCCTTCCCTTCACATGAAGCAATCCAGTGTCCATGCTCCTCATAGAAGCTGGGACTCAGTCTCCGATTTCTACTCTTGCCAACGCAGGAAGAATTAAGGCAATGCTTGACAACCAGTAGGCATTAAATTCATAAGTATTTACTGATTGAAAAATTCTTGATTTAAATTTTGTTAAATTATCTTGTAAGGGGACTCTCTGTGTGCATATCTGTGTATGCATTTCCTTCATTTAATGATGAAATTCATATAATCATAAAATACTAAAGATTGAATGGTCCTTATGGATTATTTCATCTGGAAACTACAAACTCAGATGGCTGCAAAGTCCAGGTTAGTAATCTGAATGAGTCTGAAGGAAAGTGAAATGAGGAGCAAAGGCCCACCAATGGAGGATGTCTTTTCTATCCAGTGTTGACAACTGGTAAAATTAGCTGACAACATTTAAAAACTGAGCAATTGTACCGAGCACTAGAAATGTAGATTTCAGGCTTTTCCAACTCTAGCTGACCCATCCACATCATTCACCTTGTCTTTGCAGCCATTTGAGTTTGTGACCTCGAGATTTAATAATCCCTTAGGACAATACAAAATATCTTTAGGATTTGTGGCTATCAGAATGTTGTCATTAAAAGAAGCACACACGCACACAGAGCCAGTCACACTAAGAATGAGACTAAACCACAGATTGAGCTTTGAATCGCTAGTGGGGCTTGCAGTTGTGGGGACAGCCACAGCAGCTGTGTAATATGCTGGTAGAATAGTCAGCATAATTTTCTGGAATATATTTTGGTGATAGATACCTTCTGGCCCTTCCTTACTCCTGTATATTTACTAATCTGGCCTGTTTCCTTTGGTCTCCAGATTGCTACATTGATGTAGTGGTGGGGTTTGACATTTCCACCCTCCTGGAGGGACAGCATTTATTCCACGAGAACTCCCGGCTGGAATCCTACCTCCCAGGCATCTTAGAGGATATTAGTTCCACCAGGGGGGTGAGCTGTGGGGCAGGTGCAGAGACCCAGGTGAGCGTGGCCTTTAAAGTGAACAATGACAGAGAATTCTCCTCCAAGTTCCAAATCTACCAGAAAGCAATATTTAACAGGCTGAAACAGGTCACTGTTAATGGACCAACTCATCTGACTGTCGACTTCCTGCAGTCATTGTGGAACACATTTGGAACTGCATCTGAATCCCGAGGACAGGTACCCACGTCATGTCCTCTCCCCTATTTGTCTCTGCATTCTTCCGTTTGTTTCTCTCTCACCAGCAATGTATTTAGTTTTCACATCACCCCATTTTCTGCTTTCCTCTTGCTCTAGGTACTCCTCATCTTTTCAGATGGCCTTGACGGCTCTGACATCAAAAAACTTGAAGATCAATCAGACAAGCTCAGAGAAGCAGGTACGGAGTTGAACTTGTTAACAATGGAGCATGGAATTTTTCAAAAAAGTCTGATTGTGCTCAAGGTCTTGGCCTTTGTGTGTTCACTTATAGTAAATGCTGTTGGTATCCTGTCCAGATCCCCTGTACCAGCCAGCACACGCAACCCTCAAATGTTGCAAATGCTCTTACTAAATGCATATCTGTGATCTCTAAAGAACACTTGTCCTTGATTGACCTGGACCAGGTAGACTGGGCATGCCTGGAGGAGAGGGCTTATACCATACCCACGTAGAGAGGCGATCAATGATACAGAGATATTGTCCCCTGGCTTCAAGTGGGACAGGTGTGGCACAAATTAAAATCCAGAGTCCTTCAAGGCAAAGACTTTACTGAGACACATTTGTTCACAACTTTCCTGACTCTCCCTCAATAAATCACATTGACCCAAACCCCAAATTCCTCTCTTAGATTCTGCTTCCAGGGAACCTGACTAAGACACCTCCTATTTCTAATTATCCATGTGAGAGAAAGCAGTGCGGATTTGAGAAAGCACTTCTCACTCTACATGCTCCACACCATAATTTCAGACAGCATTAGAAGCTAAATGCAGATGTTAAGAGCACTTTGGAGTAACCAGAGACATCACTGATTGGCAGATGAGATATATTGTTTGACACTTCTTTGGTGTACCCCCTGACTACCCTATGGAGTTCAGCTTCCAGGCAATCTCCCT